TTCTCTCTCTACTCTCTCTCTCTATTCTCTCTCCTCCTGTCCCGTCAATTCCGCGATCCACATCAAGCCCGAGGAAGGCAACGATACCCGACGAGTAACCAATGGAATATCAACAAACCCAATCAAATCTGAACCATGTAGAGAGGACAAGTCGCTAAACCCTCCTTACCTGAAGTTCGGTGATGTTCTCCATTACGTCTTTTAAACCTCCAGCCGTCTCGCTGACGAAGCCATGGCTGCTACTGCTGCCCCGTGGCGGCGCTTCCGCTGACGTCAACCAACTCTCTCTCTCACTGCTGCATTCAGCACCATCGTACCCGCTAGCCTTGTCGCGACCAAGCATGGAACTCTCCGGTACTAACTCCCGTTCTTCCCTCCAGCGACCGGTAGCACTGCCTTCGTAAGCCCCCGCCATTACAACTGAGGCCTCGACACTTTTGCCTGGTGATAGCTGCTGCTGCTGCTCGGGCGCATATTCATGTTTCGGTCCCACAGGTACCGAACAAGGAAGCCCGGCGGACGCTCCCCCGCCTTCACACGGGGGCAGAAAGTCGGCCTCACTTCTCTGCAGAATCGAACGCTCGTCGGGAACTGCACGATCATAGGTCTTCTTCCTCCTCTTACCGTACCTATCGTCTTCGTCCTCGTACTGCAATCTCCCCTTCAACCTATTGCCATGACGCTCCTGCCTTTCACTAATTAGACGAAGGAACCCCGCAGGCAAAGAGCTTAAGTCGGCAGGCGGACACCGCACAGACTGACCTCCGAGATCATTACCCTTTGACCGATCCAAGACTGCCGTATCAGAAAGCAAACGCTCTCTGACAGGATCGGCTGAAATGGCAGCAGCATCAGAAGAGGAAGGCCTGGCAAGGTCTATATCAGAAGAGCGAACACGAGTCGTGGAAGAGAGAGTCCCAGCAGCAAAAGAGAGAGCTCCAGCAACAGCAGCATTGCTACATCCTTCCTTTTCTTCCCGTTCCTGCCCTTTCTTTTCTTCTTCTTCTTCTCCTTCTTCCTCCTCTTCCTCTTCCCCCTCCTCTTCTTCTTCCTCCTCCATAGATTGAGGTTGATCTCGATAGCCAATCATATCCCAATTAATGTACGTTTTCCGAGCATCCAAGGTACGCTGCAAGGCGTTGCGTTTCACTTCGATTACCCGTTGGTACAGAGCCACGAGCTTGTCAGTCTGACAGGAAGCAGAGGACTGACCATCGCCAGATCGGGATTCCGCAGGCTCCAGAGGACGATGCTCCGATCCAGTTGACGATGCCCCTCCTCCCCGCCCCCCCTCCCCGCCATCGCCCCCATAGACAACGTCTCCATCGCTTCTGCAGACGCCCTTCCTGGTATCACTCGCCTCTTCTTGCAATCTCGAGAACTCTCCTTGAGCATTTTTTGAGGTCCCGCCAATCTCTTTTCCCGAAAGTGAAGATGACAATTCTTCACCTCGGCCTTTCTCGCTTGACCAGATCTGCTGCAGCTGCTGCTGCTGGTGCAATAGCTGCTGTTGCTCCTGCTGCAGGTGTTGCTGCTGCTGCTGCTGCTGCTGCTGCTGCTGCTGCTGCTGCTGATGCTGATGCTGCTGATGCTGTTGCTGCTGGTGGTGGTGTTGCTGCTGATCTGGATTCTGTTGTTGTTGCTGCTGATCTAGCTGCTGGTGTCGCTGCTGCTGATGCTGGCCCGGTTGGGAAGAGAGAACCGATTGGATCTCACCAAGAGTAAGAGTTCCCTCATCCAATGCGGCTACGATGAGAGCCAGCAGACCCTTCTTGAGAAAATCTTCACCTCCAGGAGCGACCAACATACCTGACTCCCCCATCGGCGCCAACGAGGGCGAGTTTCCACACATGTCATGTCCATGCTGAGCAAAGGGCGCCGTCACACTCTCGACGGCGCCGAATGACTGCGAATCCTCTGCGCAGAGGGATACCCCGGCCTCGCCCGCCGCCACTACGTACAATGTGCCATGCATGCAACCGCTAGATCAAGAATAGCTGGAACACCGGCAGCAACTCCAGCCAGGCTCGTTGGTGTCAAAACTTCTCAACGACCACCTTACTTGATTTCCTTCCTTCCTTCCTTCCTTCCTTCCTTCCTTCCTATCCTTACAACTCCTCTGCTACTCTTATCCACGCTCTTCGATATCTTGTTATTAGTATCTTGGTCTAGACAGATGTCTCGAAGACATACATCCAAGAAAATTCACAACAAGAAGAAAAGGGGATCGAGGTCGACGAACACAAAGAGTGTGACGGGCAATTGCTGTCGCCAGCTCGTCCTGCGCACCTCATTTAACTTGCAAACATGTACACACTGGCCATTCTTCCCGCCAGCTGGTCCTGAACATTAATTAACACGMCCTCTCTCTCTCTCTCTCTCTCTCTCTCTCTCTCTCTCTCTCTCTCTCTCTCTCTCTCTCTCTCGCACACAGCACACACACGGAAGCACAAGCACAAGGAGCAAGCACAAGTACAACTCGCGGCGGCACTGCTTGTAGTTGATGTCAGCTAGAGATGAGCGACACAGGCAGGCATCCGATTGCGGACGGACGTCCAAGACCACCAACTTCCCGTAACTTGCCCACTACCAGGAGCCCAAGAGGATCGGGGTGAGGTGAACTAAGGCCGTCATCACACCACTTTCGAAATGTGAACAAGACAAAAAAAAATGTGCGGGCGCATGTGGCCATATTCTACTGGGAAGCTCATTATCATTATCGTTTTGCACATTTCGTGACTGGTAGGGTATCTACCACATCCGGGGCAAGGTCCCACTGGCACGGATTAAGAGATTCTGACCGTTGATCTGTGCTATCTACGGTCCACATCTCTTAATTCGTGTAAGTGGGACCTAGCACCCGAGTTTCGCTCAAATTGAACTCGAAGGTCGCAGCCGGTGCGCTAAAGGCAAGAGCAGGAGGGAAAGAGCAGAGGAAGCATGGCGTGAAAAGCAGAGGGCGAAAAAGCACAAGGACAGAAAGACAGAATGGATGAGGACAGGAGGGCAGAGAATTCGAAGGGCAACAAATCGGGGGATTTGGACCGTTGCATACCCTGGCCGAGGGCCCGGCGGCCCTTATCACATGGACAGAAAAGGCGGAATATAGACCGTTGCAATTTCGGGTTTAAAGGTACCAGAGGAGAGGAGGAGGAAAGGCTTTGCAAAGACCATGCCTGCCTACATATGCACACCCTGCCCGCCCCTTTATGCTTCACGAGGTTGGCGCCTACTGTTCCGGGGCATAACGAAGGACCTGCCACACAAGTCTCGAAATGTGAAAAAGACAAAAATGTAGAGGGCGCATCTGGCAGTGTTTTAGCAAGAAGTTCATTTTGATATTGCACATTTCGAGAGTGGTGTGGCGATCCCCGAAGACGGGGTTGGCGGCTACTGTCCCGCCGGAACAAAGTTTGGGCGGGGGCGCAGATCAAATCCAGGGCACACCTACATTACCGTCGGACTTTTCCACTCCTCTGGACGGAATTGGGATCAGATACAGGCGCGACGGGCCCGAATTGCAGTCAGATACGTCTAGAAAAGTGCATCTGTGACTATGCCCTCAGCCATTTTTTTCATTTTTTTTAATTGTTTTTCTGTTTTTAAAAATTTTGGACCATTTCTCGATTTATGCGTGTCATCCTTGCGGACGTCTTCTCTGTATCGTTCCAATTTTAACGGACGTCCCGAAGGACCTCAGCTTTTCTTTTCTTTTCTTTTCTTTTCCTTTTTCTTTTTTTTTCATATTTCATTCCTTCCGAATTCTGCAATGGCGGCAACTATTACGGGGGCGCTGGCCCACTGCCTGCAGCGCCGGGGGCGCGGACCCGCCCACCAGATTGACGGGCGAATTATGTTATGGGCCTCGGCACACCACTCTCGAAATGTGAAAAAGACAGAAATGTCGCGAGTGCATCTGGCCATGTTCTAGCGGGTAGTTCATCACATTTCGATAGTGGTGTGGGGATGACATATATGTCCCTTGCGGCCTGGCTTGTGGCACGGGCAAACCGAGAGCAAGCAGCACATTCACCTTGCTATTCCCGTAGGAAACCGTCGGATCTTGGACGTGCAGGGTGCATCTGACGGCAAGTGTCGCTCAAATTGTTTTCACAGAAGACAGGGCAACATTTGGAAATTGCAACAAATTACAGGATATTATGGGAAAATATAGAAAACACAAGGTCATGATGACAAACACCCGGGCGCTGACAATACACCAATGAACTCCGTGCTGGAGCTGAGAAAAATGATGACGGGAGAACCGCAAAACCCTCCCGCTTAGTTTTTCAAAATCCCCAGACTAGTCCCGTGAGGATGGACCCGGACAACCGGAAGTCGTGGTGCATATCGTGCACCTGGACGGCATCAAAGTCTTGGTGAGATCACAACAGCTCCACCCTTTTTGTTTTCCTAAACAAAAACAAACAACAGGTCCACCATTTTTGTTTTCCTAAACAGCCAGCAAATGGAGCGAGGTCGGGGACCTCACAATTCCACCCTGAGGGCATACGCACACGGGGACCTATATTCCGAAATACACCCCCGCTAAGGAGCACGGTAGCCCAAAATCTATGAAAGCGGTCCCAGAAAGGATTTCAACCCGTCCCACTAATCGAGGCTCAAATGTTGATCTTCGGAACCCCTCCCCCTCTGGTGCGGGAGACACAAATGGGGTGGGGACAGGAGGGATCCTATATTATGATAATCCAGCATTCTCTCCCTCGGAGCAGAGTGGGAGGATCAACCTGCACATGAGGACGACCAAAACCCATCGGAAAGTCCTGACACTCGGACCCGCTCAAAGGACCATGACTGGGGAAAAGAGGAGGTCACCCCCCATGATATCGACGGGAGGCATGCTCAACCTGAAAATCAGGGAGACAGTGCCAATGACGATGACGAGGGTGACACAGCCCACTGGGTGGACTTGAACGCCGCCCCTAAGGACCGGCACCCCCCAAAAGGGAAATCCCTGCAGCGGAAAAAGAAAAAAACAGTCGATGGACCAAGAAATCTGCCAATTTGAGTTTAGAGCCTTATCATCTAATAGAGAAAATTTGAAAAGTTCTCCAGCAAAAAAGTTGAGGACACTTCGAGGGCAAAGCGTGGTTAGGAGAAAGGAGGTCATGGTACACTCTCCCTCAGAACCACAACGATGGACAGATCCTCAAGGAAAAGGTCACAGACAAAGGGATCGTTATCTCTTGCAGCACCGATGAAAACACTAACAAGAGTAGAGAGAGAACAAGCATTAACTAAAGATATACTGATCCCTTTGATCCTATCTGATTCTCCACAGGGCATAATGGTTCTCACTAAACGCCTGCTGGATGATAATCTGGAACTTCCTACAGTGACAGTCTCAATCAGCCTACGGAGTCCGAGGCACAAGAGTTGACAAAGAGAATGGTCTTGGACCACATGGGGATAGCGTTCTCAATCGCAAAACTAAAGTGCTATTGCTACGTATCCACAATCCCTTCGAGGGCTTCCTTTTTGCTGCATATTTTGTTTATGGTGCTAAAATCGGTTACAAAATTATTTGAGAGATGGTCTTATCTCATAGTTCATTGGTTTCCCTTGGAGGATTTTATTTCCTATAATTTAGAATCCGTCAGTCGAGTCAGTCTGGCCTCGAGCCTAACTGGCAAGGAAATTATCGACTATATTAAATATACAGATATGCAAGCTTACATCAGAAACGATTCTGCAGAGTCTGCAGAGCTGGAAATACAAACACCATCTCAGCAGCTCGGCAGATCCCTCCACCCGTGGAGAGGTGCCCCAGCCGAATCCAACCTGTTAGCAGCATGGACCCTTTTAATGGTCCTGCTTAATCAGATACGTATAGTAGCATGGAATGTAAGAGGTCTTGGAGACACCTCTAGCAGAGACAAAAAACAATGCCTGAAATCCTGGCTGCACTCAAAAGAAATCCACATCTTGGGCCTCCAGGAGACTAAACTAAATAGGGATAAGATCGATGAGATATCAAATTGGTGGGAGGGGCCCTAATTTTGGGTCCCAGCAGACGGAACCCCCAGTGGAACTGCAATTTTAATTAATAAGGATCTGGACTTTCAAGTTTTAGACACTTATGTGTACCCAGAAGGTAGATGGGTCTGGGCTAAAATAACGCTCAACGCATAAGATAGGGCAATAATGTTTGTGTATGCCCCAATTGATTATAATGCACGAATTAATTGTTTTGCTAACCTCTCAGCCTTTGTGCGCGATACAGAACACTTGATCATGCTAGGAGACTGAAACTCAATCTTTAATCCTGGGTTAGACTCCTTAAATCTCTCCCCAACCAGGGAAGACACAAGGATGTTGTCGGCATTCAAAGATTCACAAAGTCTTGTGGACATGTATAGAGTAATGAACCCAAACAACAATGACTTTACATGGTACGGCCCACCCTCCCCAAAGACGCCTCAACCCTGAAAAAAGGCTTGACTTTCCCCTTGCAAGAGGCAACCCTTGGGACCGATGTATATGGACGGATCTAATGTATGCTACTTTGTCTGATCACCATCCTATGGTTATGGACGTTATAGTTGTAGAGATAATTGAAAAACACAGACCCCCTTCTGACTAAATGTGATTAATCTGAAGGATGAGGGGATTCTGAGATGGGTAAACGATCAAATGGAGGCTTGGTCTAAGGCCAAACCCTTGTTCGAGAACAATGGAGCAGAATGAACAGAGGGAGGTTTGGGGATAATTCGAGCAGGATTGATAATTTTTTTTCGAATAAAGGCGGCAAACTGTAGCTGGAATGAACGCAAACTGATAAGAGATATAAAGGAAGCCGAAAACAAAATGGGCAAAAAACCTTTCTCAAACTATTATTGGTCAGAGAGGAGGAAAATTCTCTTTTACAGTTGGAGACACTTGAGGCTCGGAAACAAGTAGAGTGGATCGAATGGCAAAAATTAATTTTCGGTCATTATTACTCCGATAGTCCAAACCCTTAGTAATAAAACTCTCACACCCCTTAGCGTTGAGTGCCCCAAAGGCATCGGATACTGAAACAATGTGTAGTTATCCACTAGTTGACTTCAGAGATATCGTAACCATACGACGATCCTTTGATTCCTTTGACTCAAACTTAACTGA